ATACACACATACACACATATGCATGTATGTATGTACATGCAAGCACACAAGTACGTGCACCAGTGCGTGCTCGACATCCTCCTGGCCAAAGGGGAGTGGAATGGAGAGCCAAAGGCATACATAGGTAGAGGCAGAGAACTCCTCGCAAATGGCAACGTCATGCAGCTGTCCCGCCACAGCACAGCACAGCACAGCATCCATCGCCACCCCACCCCTGTCACAACTTCATTTGCAATGCAAACAGCAAAAGCTCTCACTCAGAGTGGGCGTCGTGACAGAGGGGGGGGAGGAGGAAGCTGCTTGTGTAATCAACTAATTACAACGGCCACCAATGTTGGCGCCATTGAGGCAACTCCAACTCAACTCCAAGCCCGCCCCGCTCATTTATCTCCTGTTAAAGTGACTTTTAAGACCCAACACCCAACACCCCAACCCCATTGCATCTCACCTCAGAGACAATTGAGTGGCTCTCCGCCAGCAGCCCTATCTGCCACTCAAATCAATCAATGTGGTCCCCTCCCCCGCCAAATACCAGAACCAGAACCAGATACAGATACATATCCAGATCCACTCAACACCCCTCCCCACAACAGAGACAACTTCGTCGTTCCCATAACTTATGCCTTGCCCTGTCGTTCCGCACTCGTTTAGCAATTCGCGCAGTTATTATTCCTATTTCCGGTTCAGGATTTTCGTTGATTTTCGTCTTGTGTTGGGTCCGAGTCCAAGCCGCCCAGAACTCTGGGCGTCTCTCTGACGCACCGCAACCTCGACCGATCCCTCCTCTCCCGTACCGCTCCCTGCCGTTCACGGCATCAGTAAACAGTATACCAAACCATACTCCTGGGTTGGTAAATTGATACTTTTTTCACTTTTGGGGTTCGTTCAGTTCGCATTTTTTTCAGAGCACCCAAAAAAAAAGAATAAGGAACGAGACAGGGAGACAACTTGAGATTCGGTCGCGACGAGCATCCAATCCATCCCATCCATATTCATAATGGCGCACTAATTGGATCTTAATGCTGGCATTTTATTTGATTACACGACTGAATTATGTCTGATAAATCAAATTAGTGAGGGACAGCCAACGAATCGAGGGAAAGTGTTGCCGGACTTACGCCACAGCGACACCCTCTGAGTGAATTTCCAAATTTGCGGAATTACTCAATTGAAATGGGGATGGGGGCCCCTGACACTGTCTCTGACTCTGACAAATTCGCGTGATGCACTTGCAAATGATATTCAAATTTATTAGATCATTCACTTGCGAAGACGAGCAGGGGATTCGGTATTGGATTTAGTATTAATTTCAGCAGAACGAAAACAAAGTATAAGTGGTACGATAATTGAAACAAAAATCATTGAAAACTAAAGCTTAAAGTGCGAATAATTAACAAACTGTACTAACAATTGTCTAATTTAGATTAATAGAACGCCATTCTCATTAATAGAATGCATTCCCGACCAGCCCTGAGACTCCCACTCTCCCTCTGATTAATGAATTCCCATAAAATGACATGGGGAAAACCCTGGACAAAACATCTCCGCTCCACTGCATCAAGCCCCCTCAACGGCTCACATGGCGACAGACGGACAATGCTGCCAGCGGCAGCAGCAGCAGAGAGCGACTTTAATTGATTTGGTAAACAAAGTTTGCTCCTGGCAAAAGTTTTGTTTGCCAGCTCCAAAGGCGCTCGCCCGACCAGGTCCTTCCAATTACAATTTGTTCTGTCGCACAGGAGGGCTCTTAAATAACAATTTACGTGCTTAACATTTGTTACATAACGCCGATAAATTAAGCGAACGACTTTTCCGACAGCGACAAGTTGAATCGTTCATCGGATGAAATTTAATTAGCAATCACACGGCTGTCTTTCGATTAAACGCTCCACAACTTCACCGATGTGATGGATGATCGATGTGGTAATAAATCTGCGGTGGAGCGCAGAATAATAACTAAACTTTCCATAAACATTTCGGACAGGACGGCTCTCCTGCTATCTACCTGTTGGCAAATACAAATGTGTGGCCCAATATCTGATTGGGTAAATAAATATAAACGATACATATCATAACCGCCGAACGTTAATTTCCTCTTACAGAAGTTTTTATCTTTTACCGATTTGGGTTGTCGTAATGTTCGACAAGCGATGATTTCTATCCCATATGGTCAAGATTTCAAACTGGTTAAATCGAAGAATTTATATTGTTAAAATCAATCATTAATCTTAGATACAAACTACAATGAAGAAATTTATCTGATACTTATATTTCCAGCACAAACGGCATTTAGCCATGTGTGAAAATAATAATGCCTTCAAGACTCACAAAGGAAGGAAACGTCAGTGAGTTGCGAATTTTTTCCGGGAAACTAGTGGCGATTCCCGTATGACACTTCAAATGCCACTTACTGACTGAGCTGGATTAATTCATTAAAATACTTGCGAGGCACCCAGCAAGTCGAAGGGAGATGTATCTTGGGTCGGAGGGAGAGAGAGAGATAGAACTGGTGTCTGCTAGATTTATCGACTGTCTTTGCCTTGACAACTTAAAGTGCTTGCTAACAGAATGGATTTATTGCAGTTTTTCAATTGAAAGTTTACGATTGATTGGAAGCCGGGAAACGGCTAAGAGATGTCGATGTAACAAAGAAGTTTAAGTGCAGCTCACATGGGTTCACTTCTCTTCTTTGCTTTCTGCGAGAACAATACTCACTCTGAATTAGCAAAATACTCTCAAGAACACAGCAAAGTTCGGATAATACTGGATTGGTTCGGCAACGTGATTATCTAAACGGGCCATGGAAGCACAGCACCAGTAAAGATTTGGCAAAAGCAAAGTTATGTTGTTACTCTTCTAAAGTTTACAAGTGTTTTAGTGCTAGAGCTTGGCTCACATTTCCCTAAGCGACAGCCCAAAAGTTTTACGCTCAGGTGATGCAACGATAATCCCAAGAACAAACCAATAAAGTATGCATAATCTTTGATAATGTCAGGAAAAGTATTTACACCCATAAAAGTAACTGGAAGGATGGAAAGATGGTTTACCGCCACGTGGTATTTACTTGAACAAACTGAACAGCTTATGAGGATATTCAAAAGACTATTTCTTGACTCGTATGTACATATGTTTATTTAATTGTTTTTCATTGTAAATTCTGTGAATCTATAGGAATATTCAAAGCAGCCAAGCTTATAGTTTTAGAGCAGCCTGCTTTAAGAGTTCAGAGCAACAAGTTTCATTGGCTACACATCTGTTTTAATAGTTTCAAACTTTTAGTACCCTCAAATTGGTAGATCAGAAAAGTAAACTTATGTACTTGTTGCAAGAAGGAAGAATTTTAAAATTTTGTCCTCAAAATTTAAATCGTTAATAGTAATAGTTGTATTTATATTAAATCATTATATTGATCTATCTATCTATCTTTCCTTCTTTCTATAGTTATATGTACATTATATTGATCTAGCATTTCTATTATCTTTTTTATTAGCTATCAAATGTCGTGTATGTAAAGTTATAAGTCTGCTGACAAAGGATCTGCACTGCCAATGACTTCAAATCAATATCATTCCAATGAGGCCCAAATATGAATACAATTCGCCATGGGTATGGCACGCATATGGGAAGAATCCCACAATATATGTCTGTACATGCTCGTGTACATATTCCCGCGCTCATTCTCTACCTGAGGGTAATTTTGCATTTGTTGTTATGCTCACCAGCAATATGTTTGTTTGTATGTACATATATTTGTCTGTGTTGCCTGCACTCGCATCTTGTACTTACCGAAATGATTTATAAATGCCGACTTAATGCGCTAAAAGCCAAGCATATTAAACCGGTTTTCAGATGTGGCCTGCCACATCGTGCCACTGGAACAGAGAGGTACGTAGCATAAATATATCTGCGTGGTTTTTTGGCACTTTTGCGGCAAGGTGAGCTTTTGGGGAAAAGGGTTTAATTATTGTAATTGGAGTTTTCGGCTTAGGCCGTAAATTCGCATAAATTATTCAAGCCAGATGAGAGTGTTGGCCAGAGATGAGTTCACTTCCAGATGGAATCAGATGTTAATTGTTTTCGTGGAGCCTCATGGAGCCACAGATCTCCTGGCTGCGTAGCCCCCATATGACATAAATCTCCCTGTGGAGAGGCAATTCTCACCTAATCCACCCCTGTGTGTGGCACTATCTCTCACCTCGCATCCCATTTCTTGGGCGCCGTGTCCGTGTCTGTGTCCGCCTTTTATCTGCCAGCATATTCATTATACGAATTAGGTTCAAGGTTCGGATTGGCATTCTTTTGGGACACATTGGTGAAAATTGGCAATTTTTGAAATCGGAAACTCTGCAAAAAGTGACAGAAAATAGGGGAAAAAGAAGGAAAACAGCAAAGAAACACAGAAAGGGAAACAACAACAAAGGCCACAGGATTTCCAATCGTTTTTATTGAATGTTTCGAAGCGAAAAGAAAATGCCCAAAAGTTGGACAAACGGACAAACGGACGGACAGACGGGCGATGCGATGCGATGCGATGGCTGATGCTGCAATCCCGTAGTGGCCGTCGTGTCGTGTCCGCCGCATCCGTATCAGTGAGAAACCCAATATAATCTTTTATTTCTTTGTCTCACTCCAAGGGTCGGTTGGATGGTCGAAAGAACCGTCTGGGTATGGGTATGGGTATGGGTCTGGGTCTGGTCTGGGCCGAGTTGTTCGTTGCTGAGCATTTTTCATTTTAAAGACTCTTTGACATTTATTCTCTGGCAGGGAAACGGTGCGACGGAATTGGCAGATTAGAAATGCTCGAAACTCAGCGGTCGGTCATCGGGGAAGGTCGACCTCTGACCTTGAGCAGTTGATTAGCATAGGGATTGGTCGATTCCATTGTCCGTGCCACTGTGCCACAGTGCCTCTGTGTGTGTCAGTGTGTTCCGTTCCCTTTTAGATGTGGACGAACAGCAAGAAAATTCACGTTGATTTTATGTATTTGTTTTTTTTTTGTTTTGGTATAAATTAGATTTTTATTTTTCCGCTTAGTTTTTGGGTAAAAAAGATTATACATATAAAATCGTATTTAATGGATGGTATTTACACTTAGGATTAGCTCAACTTTGCCGCAGCACTTAATTATTTATTTCTATGATTATCGTATATGCATAAATCGATTCTGAATCGCTGTCTTTATTTTCTTTCTGTATACATCTGATAGATGATAAAATGATCAATATTTACATAGGTCTACGGTCTATAGCCTAGGGGAAGTTTACACTCCGCGGATGGATGCGTAACGCTCGGCTGGAGGCCGCGCGGCATGAGCTACTACCTACCCCTTTCTGGGGTGGCGTGGTGGTTGCTTCTAACAATAATTAGGGCGAGGAATTGGTTCTGGTTCGGGTTCTGACTCGCGAACGGGGTGACGCGGGTCGTCTACGGGTACAACTAAAAACAAAGTCTTTAAATATTAATTAGAGCTGTCCAGGAGCTGCTGCTGCTGGCGTTGGTGCTTCTGATGTTGCCTCTCCTTTAATCATGGCCATCTCACACCTCGCTCCGGATGCAGACTCGGACTCCCTTCAGCTTCCGCCTCAATGGGAACGGGTATGGACGGGTGGCTGCTGTTCACTTGCTCTTGGTGGCAGCCGCGTGGGGTGCGGCCGTGTTGGCCGTTGTCTGCTGTCGTGGACTAGCCCCACTGCCGCCCTTGGCCAGCGATGATGGCGTGTGGCTGGATGGCGCTCCCGTGGCTGCTGCCGTCAGCTTTCCGTTAAGCAGGGCCGAGCTCTTGGGGCTGGCTGCCGCCGTTGCGGAGGAGGGGCTGGGCAGGGTGACGGTTGGCAGCATGGGCATGATCGTCTTGTGGTCCACATCGCCTTGCTGGCCATTGGCCGCACTCTTCAGCTTCTGGAGGTAGTCGTGGAACACCTCGTTGCCCGCCCGCTGCATCCGCGTGATCTGCTCCAAGACGTACGCCTGCTGGTAGTTGTACATCGCCGGAGACATGTGCCCGATCTGGGCAAAGTTGTACAGCAGACTCGACTGATTGACGGCCGCTTGGGCCTGGGCAGCCTGGGCGGCTTGTGCGGCCTGGGCCACCTGAGCCCGGATCAGGTTCTCCTTGATGAAGTTGTTCAGATCCATTTGACCGGCAGCGGCCGCCGCACTGGAGGCGATGCTCAGCGGAGCGTTCAACCCCGGCAGACCAGGATGGGACATCAGCTTGCCCAGATTCCCTTGGATACCGCCCCCCAAGCCGGTAGACGATGAAGGCGGCGGTGTGGGGTTCTTGGTCGGCTTCTTGCCACCCATCTGCTGGCTCTTCAGCGGCGGGCTTGGCTTCTGCGCTGGCCGACTGCCGTTGGGAAGCTTCGGCGGGGGCGGCAGGAAGACAGCTGCTCCTCCGTTGGGCGACTTCTTGCTGGTGGGCACCTTCTTGGCGACGGTCTGCACCTGGCTCTGGGGCTGGCTGAAGTTGAAGGCGGGCGCCAGGCTGGGCAGCTTGGCGGCCATGTCTGGGATCTGGGCGTTCTGGCGTGGCAGAATGGGCCGGAACTTCTTGGCCGCCGGATCTCCGTTGGGAGTGGCAGAGCCTGGTGCCGACTGGCCTGCCGACTTTGGTGACTTGTTCTCGCTGGCGGTGGGCGAGTGGCTGCCCATCTGGGCGGCATTGCGCTTCTCCGGACTGGGCGTCTTCTTGGTGTCCGCCTGCGAGGGCGTCAGCACGGTCTTCAGGGGCGCGCCTTTGGCGCTGGTCGGGGGCGATATCTTGGGCGGTGTGATCCCTCTGGGAGCGGTGGGCGAAGATGAGGGCGGGGCTGTTTGCGGCAGCTGTGGCGGCGTCATACGCGACATCAGGTGCTGCGGGGAGGGAATGGCCTTGGAGGGCGGTGGCTGTGGCAGACGCATGGATGCGGCAGCTGGAGCAGGAGCCTGGACTGGGGGCGGAGTGCGTCCGGGAGCAGGTGCTGGCGACGACTGACGCTTCTGGGCTTCCGTGGCACCGGCGGCGGCGCTGGATTTCTGTCCCTGGTCCTGCGGCTGGTCGGGCAGCTTTACGATCTCGATGTAGTTGTTGACGGGACTCTTGTGCTTCGGATGCGACCCGTTGCTGGCCGACGAGGAGTCGCCGTTGTCCCTGGAGATGGTGATCGACAGCGAGGAGGGGATGTTGATGTTGCACGAGTTCAGCAGCGACTTGACCTTCACCTGTTGCTTCTCGGGCGCGTCCTCGTTGTTGGGACTGGCGCCACGCTGGAAGGCATTTACGGACGGAGCTGCTCCCGCCGGATTGGTGTTCTGGTCGGCCTTGGTGGGCGGCGAGGGGAACAGCGACCCCGACCCCATCGATCCCCCGCTGCCGCTGCCGCTGAGCATGCTCTGCAGGTAGCCCCCGGCGGTGGCCTGGCTCGGCTTGGGCGTGTACTTGTAGGTGGGCATCGTGGGGATGTTGTAGTTGGGCACGTACTGCGGCGAGCTGGGCGAGTAGATGGGCGAGTTGGGCGTGTACATGGGCGTGCGGCAGCCGGGTGGCGCCTCCCGGCCCTTGGACTTGCTGGCATTGAACAGGGCCAAATTGAGGTAGTTGTTGGCCGCCTTGTTCTGGCCACCGTTGGAGCTGGGGGCCGGATGGGATTGCGGTTGATTGTTGCTTCCCGCCTTGGCGTGCCCTCCGCTCGTGTGGCGTCCAGCGTGGGGAGCTGCAGCGCCTGCCGGTGGCGGCGGTGGTCCCATCTTGCTGTCAGCCTTGGGCCCGTACACATGCGACTTGGCGGAGGAGGAGGCGCTTGTGTTGCCTCCAATCGACTTGATCTCGGTGCCGGCGTCCTTCAGCAGACGGTTGACCTCGTTGGGAATGTTGGCGAACGGATTGGGTCGCGCCGCCTTCGGCAGAATGGGGTGGTAGCGCTTGGCGATGGGCGTGCGGTTGCCTGGAGCCGCCATCTGCATGCCCGGATGCAGGGGCGAGGACGGAGTGAATTGTGCCGCGTGCTGGGGCTTGCGTGGGGCCAGCATCGGAGGCTTTGGCGGTGGCGGCATGAGCTTCTCCAAGCTGCCGACAAAAGGTGGCGGCGTGGACGGAGATGGCGGCGGCTGCGGCTGCGAATGCGAGTTGCTGGCGGGCAGGCGAATCTTGAAGTCTTCGCGGGGCAGGGGCGGTGAGAGCTTTGGCTTCTTGTAGACGGCCTTGACGGGCTCCTTGCTCTTGCGCTTTGAGGAGGCGATCGACTTGGGTGCCATTCCGGCGGGCGGCCTCATCAGCTCCCTGTCCTCCAGGCTGGCCTTGGACCTTCCGCTGTGATGCGAGTGGGACGCAGCTCCAGCGCCAGAAGCAGAAGTTTTCGGAGGGGTGAGAGCTCTGTGGCTGCTGCCGCTGCTGCTGGGTGATCTCTCCGGGGACTCGATCTTCACCTTGATGGGGGTGAGGGCGAAGGACTTGAGGAACTCCGACTTGGGATCCTCGTGGCAGACGGTGCTCGCCACGCAGCGGGGACTCAGGGTGCTCACACCGCTGGGGCTGAGGATGCGCTCCGTGCGAATAGTCAGCGGAGGCACCGTCAGCGGACTGGGACTCTTTCGCTTCCGATCGCTGCTGCTGCTGCTGCTGCTCGAGGATTTCGGACTGCCGTCCTTGTCCTTGTCCTTGTCCTTGCTCCGGTTCTTGGAGCGCGACTCCTTCTCGGGCTTCAGCGGCTTGACGATCTCCTTGCGGTCCGGATCGGACATGTTGATGATGGTCACGCTGTTGTGCTTGGACAGATCGATCTTCAGCTTGATGTTGAGCTCCCCACTGGGCGATGGACAGGAGGAGGACGGAGTGGTGGGCGTGTGGTGATTGGCGCTCTTGGCGCTCGACCTGTAGGACTGCGGCGAGTGGCTCTTCTCGCGCTTCTCCAGCATATTCCGGTTGATGATCAGCTTGAGGGGCTGCTCACTGGGCACACGGACCTCCTCCTGCTGCTCCTGCTTAATGCTGGCGGGCGGAGATGCTGCTGCAGGCGGCGGCGTTTGCTCCACCTTGGCCGCTTCTGGCGCCGGCTCCTGCTCCTGCTTCACCACCTTCAGGGGCGCTGGGAGCATGCGACGTGGCGGGGGCTTCACCCGCCGCTGCGTCGACTCGTACACCCTGAAGTAGAAGCGCATGGGCGCGTCCCGCTTCCACGTGTAGATGTACGCAATGTCCATGAGGGTGTAGTAGTCCAGCAGGACGATCGTCTTCACCTTGTACATGATGTCGATGCTGAAGCGCTGCACATCGATGTCGAACTTGTCGTAGACGAACTTCTTCAGGTGGCTCACCCGGCACATGGCCGGACACTGGAGGTACGTCGGTCGCAGAAACTCCACCTCGGACTCGGTGCTCAGCTCGCTGTGGGGGGAAAGGATTCAAATAGAGGGAAAGAAACCATGGATTAGTCAATGATCAGGGGTATGGATCTGGCGCTATATATATAGGCACAATGGGGGCTGATGAAACCTACCCCAACTCGGCGTATTCCAGGGACAGAGACATGTTATCCGTGGGGCCGAATATCAAGTGCTCCGTATCATCGCCCCGCTGCTCGGGCGTGGCCAGAGCTGCCTCCTGCGGCCGATCCTTGTAGAAGGCCCGCTTCCGCATCAGCTCCCGCTCGTACAGGCCCGGCACGAGCTTGTAGACGATCGCCTGGAGTGTGGTGTCCGATCTGCAAATAATAGGGATTAAGAAGAGAACGGTTACAACTCGGTTCGGTTCGGTTCATCCTGGTGCGTGCTCATTCGAATGGAAAGGACTGTAGCACAAAGGAAGAGGAGCAGTAGCAGGAGAAGGGACAGGAGCAGGGACAGGGACAGGGGCAGAAGCCAAAGTCGAAGAAGTCGAAACAGAGGCACTTCCTTGGCGCGGAAATGAGAGCACACACAAAGAAAGGAACAGAGAGGAAGAGCGAGAGAGAGAGAGAGACAGGACAAGAAGCGCCCGTACAAATTAGGCGGCAGATGCAATTTTCTATTGCTTCAATGGCACGCAACAAAAACGCTAAACAAGGAGAGGCAGCAGCGCAGCCAAAGGGGCAGGGGCAGGGGAAGTGGGATAAATAAGGAAACTACAACAGCTATTGCTCCTTGGCATGTGCTGCTTGCTGCTTGCTGCTCCCGGGTGACGATGGTGATAGAGCGATGTGGTGTGGTGTGGTGTGGTGGTGGTGGTGGTTCGTCGGTGCGGCGGTGGTGGTGGAACACACGAACGGAACTCTACTCTCGCATTAAGTCGCCTTTCAAACATCTTTGCTTGCTCTCCTCTCCGGCCCATCCATGCAGGCGCTCACTTCAATCATTCCACGCACACACACACACACACACACACAAACAAAAAGACAGAAGGAGCGTGGAGAGACCCAAAAAAAGGTCTTGAATGGAATAGAAAGATGAAAAAGGGAATGAGTAGATGACACGGGAGGGAGGGAGGAAGGGAAAGGTGAGCTACGGCGAAGATGATAAAGAGGGACAGGCAGGCGCAGTAGAGGGATAAGGCATGCCAGACTACTCTCTCATTAACATATCTCTTTTTGGTAGCCTGGAGGGGGGGGAGATGTGATATCTCTCCGATCAATCTATCAGTATTTATTAACCTCAGCAATTGGATTGGATTCAAGTCAGCGATGTGGCGCATCAGTGAATGATCAAACAAATTAGAGATGCCATAACTTTACCGGCCTCCCCCTCCCCATACCAGGGTAAACTTAACTTCTTCTTTTCTGTTTTTTGTTGTTGTTGTTGTATAACACTCAATCATCCCAATACCACCCACCCACTGTCAGGCAACTTCTTCAACTCGAACTAAAGTTTGAGCTCTTTCAACTTTTATTTACTCTCTCCCCCCACACTCTGCTTCTCGTATCGCTCCCACTCATGCCCACTCTCTCTTTTTTAGCTTCGTTCGGTAATCGCTCTCACAAAAAGAATACCAATGCACGGCAAGAACAACAAAAAAAAAAAACAGAAGCCGCAACTCTTCGCGCTTCCTCTCCCTCTCTCGCTCACCCTCTCACTTCCTCTGCCCTACCGCTGCCCTACTACGCTTTCAGCAGTTGTTGTTTTTCAGCTGCTGTCCTGTCCCCTGTTCCCCCCTACCCCATCATCGTTCACTACGTCAGCGTCTGCGTCGACGTCATTGTCGTTGTCGTTTGCCGTCGGCGAAAACTGAGCGCAAGACCCGCCCGTTAATTATCTTTGCCGTATTTCGATTTGTTTTCTTGGAAATGCGTGTCGCCTTACCGCCAGTTGTAGTTGTTGTTGTTGTGTTGTTGCTGTTTCTGTTTCTTCTGCTGGAAGTTCTCCTCTCCGTTTATTTTTCTTTCTTTCTTTACTTCTTTTCTTGCCCGTTTTGGCAGTTTATATCAGATGATTCTGTCGGCATTGTCTCTCCTCTCCTCTCCGCTCCACTGCTTAAAGGTAAGACGTCGGCAGAGACAGCTATGAAAACATGGCCGGCATGACGAAAAATATGTGCGGCAAAACCACAGCAGAGGGGAAAAGTATAGTCTTGATACTATATAGAAGTAATATTTTCAATCCAATATTATGGAAATATATGCAGAAAATCCTAAAGAAATGCTCGCTATGAATGGCTGCAGCTTCCGTTTACATAGCTTTCCAAAACTTGTCCAATGATCCCGTAACGATCCTGAAAAGCTCTCCAAAGCTCTGCGAAAAGCTAGTTTACTCATCCTCTACTATTAGATCTATGGAACCCAAGCCAAGTATCGTCTAAAATTTGTCAGCTTTACTATTATTTTGACCGTATCTGTTGTGCCTGCCTCCCCGTGCCTTCACCCAATACCCAGTGCGAGCTTTATTTGTTTTTTCAGCAAAAAGCGAGCTTTATTTTATTTTATTTTTGTTTATCTTTTCAAAGACAAACTGAATTCGAGTGAAACTGACTTTTCTTTTGTGTGTTTCACTGCTGCTGCTGTTTCTTTTTTCCTTTTCCGTTTCCCCTTCCTGTGCCCCTTTTTTGGGTTAAACAATAAACTTTCGCAATAAATTTAATTGGAGACTTGAGACTGGTTGAATGCTACACGACTACTTCTACCACTATGACTAGGGCCACTAAAAATTCATGGAAAGCAGAGTCAGCCAGCCAGCCAGCCAGCCAGCCAGCGGCATCCATGGGCCAGGCACAAAAGACACTTGTTTGCAGTCAATCTCCACCTCCACTACCACTACCACTCCTCCACGGCTCTCCCCCTCCCCTAACCGGGGAGGCACTTCACACCATTTGGCCAGAGACTCGGAGTCAGACCCAACGAAAAGGTTCATCCATTCACCTGTTCTTCATTTAGTCTGCCCCCACAATATCGCCGCCTCTCTTTGAATTTGTATTCATTATCTTTTGTGCGAGGTGTGTGTGTGTGTGTGTGTGTGTGCAACGGGAGAGATTACAACGTGCGACGCTGGAGGCAGGCGCAGGCGGCGAGCATTGGTTGGATTGGGGGGGGGAGCGTGGGCGTGCCACCAGCGGGTGGTTTACTGTACAGAGCTTCCCATTAAAGTTGCTGCAGCTTAAATAGATTCTGCCACATCTCCCCGCCTGCCTGGCCTGCCTTTCTACACGAAACGTGTTTTTCATTACGCAGCCACATTCCCGAGTCCCGTCCCCCATCCCAATCCCAATCCCATTCCATCTATCCACCCAAAACGAAACGAAACGAAATGGAATGAAATGAATTGAAACGTGCCAGACAAGATGGTTCACGTTCAGTTAGGGACGACAGTCCCCCTCCCTCCCACAGCAAAGCAAAGGCCAGCCCATGGCCCGTCAAATAAAGTTAACCACAGCCAAAAGTTTCCACGAACAAAGGTGGATCCGCCACCACCACCAGCACGTGGTGGGGGATCGGGATCCCGAAAAGTGTCTTGTGTCTCAGTTTATGCCCCACTTTGGGGCCAAAGGTTTTTGATAAACTTTCCGCCTGGGCACCGCACCGCACCGCCCGCACCGCCTCTCAACCACAATTACCTCCCCAAACGATACGGAAAGTTGTGCGGTTCGAAGCAGCAGTTTTATAAAGAAACTACATACTACTCCGATTCCACAATCCTGCCACTGGCGGCAGTGGTTTTCCCCGGGGAAAATCAATCTCTAAGTGAACTAAAACGGAAATGTTATAAGCTACAGAAGGGAGAGGGAGCGAGCGTTCCCTTAGCTTTCACCCTCCCCTGACACTTACACTTACACTCGTAGGCAGGTTCGTCCCTGGTGACAATGTGTGCAAGTACTTTGGCAGCAGTCAAAGCTAATCAGTGAGGCTAACTGAACGGAACCAATGGGGAAAACTGGAAACAAAGATCACGCCGCCTCCTACGTTAATACTGGATATTGGATACACTCTTGCTTACAATTCTATTAACTGAATTGCAAAAAAACACCCATGTATGCATACATATATTTCCACAAAGCTTCAGAGGAGCACCAGTCGGGGCTAGGTGGAAGATGTATGCACAACTCCTTAAGGTAGAGATAAGTATCTCCTTTCAAAGAGTTTTTCCATTGCCTGAGCTTCCTTTTACATTCCCATGCCCATGGCCATGCCCATTCCCATTCCCATTCCCGTGTCAAGTGGCAGACAACAAATCGCATCTTCAAGTATTTCCCCATCCCCAGGGCTGCTTCACCTTTCCATTCCATTATTGTATCTATCATCTAATCGCTGTTGTCAAAGACAGACAACACGACGAACGACTCTATCCAGCCACGCTGAGGATTCTACTCACTTGATGTTCGGCTTGGCGCTGTTGATGACCATCTCGCACCGTGGACAGAAGCGCTCCTTGCGCAGGTGATTAATGAGGCAACTGTGGCAGACTGCAAAACAGAAAGAGAGAGAGAGAGAGAAAAGTACATTAGTAGGGCTTTCAAATTCCCATTGATATCCGAAAGCTACTCCGTACAATAGTGCAATACAAAGAGGCAAATTAGGATGGCAACTGCGAATCGGCATAAATAAATTGTACAGATTTCTGCTTCCCCTACCCACTTCCCTCCCAAATTGAAACGATTCAAATTTATGTAAAAACATCTCTGCTGCTCCGCTTGGAATATTCCGAGCAAACCCAAGCTCCACCTTCTGGGCAAAGGAAACGCAATCAAGGCACAGGCACCCACCCCCACCCACACCCACACCCACACCCACGTAGCCAAAAGTAAAAGCAGGCAAATACACAGAACAGAGTTGAAACTGGGGAAAAACAGAGGCAGAGGCAGAGGCAGAGACAGAGGAGAAACGTTTCAGGGAAACGAGCCAAGAAAAAAATTACTGCAAAAAAGTTGTTTTGACTTTAATGTCAATGCCAGGGCCAGGCCAGGCCAGGCCAGGGTCCTGCACGCTACAACTGTCACCCAGGAACCAGAGAACCAGAGACCTGATAGACTGGGGGTCTCGCAGAATCCAAGTCATTTCAAGCTGACTCTCTCTTTTCGTCCCAGTCTCTCTTTCTTTGGCTTGTTACGCTTGTCCGTCAGTTTTGGTCCAATGCCGAAAATGTAATACAGGGGGGAACCAAAAAAAATGAAGGAAAAATTCGCAACAGTCTGTCTGTAGTGGGGTGGCAGGAAACAAAAAAAAAATGTTGCTGCCCACCAAATGGCCTCGAGTGAGAGATGCTGCTGCTGCTGTTGCTGCTGCTGTTGCCACAGCGACTGTGAGAGTGCAGCAAACAAAATTTTCTTCCACACGATGACGACGGCAGCTGTTGCTGCCGCCAGCCACACACGGTCCACAGTACACAGCACACAGTCCAGAGTCCAGGTTTGCCTCTGGGCCGAACCCAGTCCAGTCTGGCGCATTTGACAGTTAGATGGGACTCCCGGGTGCTCTATATATCTGTCTGTCTGTCTCTCTGGTTGGCTGCTCCATTTCGTTTCAGTCTCCCATCTACCCCCCACCACCCCTGCCATCGTCGGGCATCTCTGGCAGACTGACCAACAGATTTAAATGAGCCTGACCAAATGTATCCACGGCCAGTGTGTCTGTCCATTATCAACACATTGGTTTCCTAGATTTACGAACATCAAAAAGGGGAGGGCAGGGCAGAGGCTGAGGCTGAGGATGCAGGGTAAAAGGGGAGGAGTTGCGAAATTAACCTTACGCCGCAAAAAGGGAGCCAACATTTAATGGCAAAGAAAGAGAAAGAGAGTGAGGGAGAGTGTGTGATATATTGTTATATTCTTTAGTTTTATTGGGTTTATTTCATCCCGGGAATGCTAATGTCGTGTATTATTGGGTGATTTCTGTAATTTATAAGTCTCAGTCTCAGAAAATAAAACTCGTTGGACAGTATAAGAAATGGGCCATCTTCAATATGGATCTACATAATTCTAATCAAGAATTGTGCCCCAACGCAACCTAAAACGTTTTATAAAAAACTCTTAAAGTATGACTAAAATCAGTTAAATATTCTTTTAATTTGTATTTATTTTTATTCTTGGCTTATTCGCGGTTTCGAAGGCATATTTAAACCATGCTTAAACAGGATACTCCTCTCTCCTCATCCAATATCCACACAGCTGCCTGCAACGGTTTCCCAATCAAGAGTCAAGTACTTAGCCCTACTCCCCGTTTCCCTCCTTGCATGACTCGAGCCATTAATGGGCCCACAAACTTATCGCCCGACAACATCTGCGTGTCGTCTGTGGCACGACACCCTGCCCCCCACCAGCCCGCGTTCACCACCCTTTTTGGCCAACCCAAAGGCAGACATAACTCATCGCGCCGAGGCAATTTTGGCGAGCTTCTAGACAGACACAGGAGGCAGTGCCTGGGGGAGGGGCAGTCCCAGTGCCAGTGGGAGATGTGAGAGGGGAATGGGAATAGAGATACTCATTCTAATCAAGGCATAGCGATTAGGAGATGCAACACGACTAAGATGAGAGACAGTGGGGGATACTTACAGGAGTGCAGACACTCGACAATTGTCGTGGCATTGATCAGGTAGCCCTGGCACAGGTGACAGATGATGTGCGGATTAACGGCAGTTAGCAGCACTGGTCGTGGCGTTGTTGCTGTTCCCAGTGCTGTTCCTGGTGCTGCCAAATCGGAAGTATCTGCTGCCTCCTCATCAGCGGAGGCGCCACCATTGCTGCTGGCATCCTCTGACGTGGCTGTTGTCGTGGACCACGCCGACGATGAGCAGCATGAGGCGGAGGAGGAGGCGGGTGCCTCGACTGATTCGACATTAGGAGTTGTTGCCGGTGGCGTTGATTCCTTCTTGATGCTCTTTTCTAACATGTTTTTTACTGCTGCTGTTGTTTCTGTTATTGGTGTTGCAACTGTTGCTGTTGCTGTTGCTGCTGCTGCTAATGTGTTTTCACTTTTTACTTTAATGCTGCTGGCAGCAAAAAGTTGCTGTTGCTGTTGCTGCTGCTGCTGGCGTTGCTGCATTTGCATTTTATCAGCACTTGTCGACGTCACATTTGTGGCAGTGGCACTGGCACTGGCCGTAGTGGCTGTTGTTGTTGTTGGCGCTTTCAGAGACAAAGCCAGCTTTTTGCTGCTATTGCTGACAGCGCTGCTTTTGGCTGCTGCTTTCGCTGCTGCCACTGCGGAGAGCTGCGACGCTGCCGCTGGCTTTTGTGTGTTTGCCATTGTTGTATTTGTATCTGTATTTGCAGTTGCAGTTGCAGTCGAAGTTGCAGTTGTTGTTGCCGCTTTCGACTCTGGCGTCATCATAATCATAATACTCGTTGCTCGAATTCGCTTGTGTGTTGCACAAGCGTCAATCTGGAAAATAGACAAAGCAGAAGTTGAAATTAAATGCGAAATGGAAATTGGTTGAGCGGAGTAGCATCCATGCAGATTATAAACAAATCCAGAATGAAGCTTAGGCAAGAGCTTTAAGCTCCGCTAGATAGAATTCAATATTACTGCTCTGGGGAAGCAGCTCTTGAAACCTTCAGAACCTCTCGACGATCGGATTTCGTTTTCTGTTTGCTGTTTTCCTTGTCATTGGAACTCAGAAACTGCTGTTAATCAGAATATCTGGGAATCGGAGAGCCTACTGTGGTGAATCAAACTGCTGATCGAAGAATGAAAAGCGATACCTAGGCATTCTGTTATCTTTAGTGCCCCGCACAAAACAGATCCAAAAACAGACTTCCAGAGCGCAATTTCTGCCACATTTAAAGCCAAAACAATGGCCACATGGCCACAGCGCCAGTGGCAAACAGGCAATAGAGGAAGGACCTCGAGGCAGGGCACACAAGCTGGGGATGGACTTTGAAGGTACAGGCAGAGGAGTAACTTTGTGGCAGGAGTGAGCGCAGTAGAGGAGGTGGGTGGCATGCCTGTTCCACTGCTGACATTAAACAATATGTGAGCCATTATATGCAATCAGTCGATGGATGCGGGGCCTCCGATAATGGATGTTTCTGTTGTTGCTGTTGTTTTGGCCCCGGCACAGCAGTGTTGCCGTTGCCATGGGAATGTTTGCAAATATTGAAATCCACAGCACTCGGGGGAGCATTGAGCGCACAGACTCCGACTCTGACTCTCTCGCACTCCCACTTCCACTCCCGAAAGGGGTGAAGAGTGGTGGGAGTGAAGGGCTGCCCAGACACCCGGAGTGGCAGTGGCAAGTACATGGAAAATGTATTCCAAACAATTTCAAGCTGTTTTTGCATCAACGCCCCGTTAAAAAGTCAAGGTACAAACACGAAAAACTTTTCCCAAAAACTTTTTCAGTCAACGAACCGAATGCGAAAATCATACCGAATGGGAAATTGGAATGGGGAATGGGAATGAAAATGGAAATGGAATATGAATGAGAATAAGGAAGCGCAGTGCAGAGGAGGGCCTTGTGTCCGGGAGAAGCCTCTTTAAATCCTTTTTACAGCAAAATTTAAGAGGCTGCCGACACAAGATTTTAACCCTTCCTTCCTCCATTCCCGTATTCTGTTCCCATTCCCACAATATATACAGGCGGCTTGGCTGCTGGAGGGGAGAAGAAACGCGCGCGCAAAAAAAATGTGAGTACCAACATGAAAAGGATAATAAAAAGCAGCGGAATTTCTCATTTCTAAGTGTGTGTGTGTGTGTGCGTGCAGGAGAGTGGAAAGGACGCAAAGGAAAGGCAAAGGGATGGAATGGTAAGAGCTGTGGTGCCTGCGAAGAGCCGGGAGGGAGGTAGAGCGCAGACTGTGACAATGCACGGTGACGGCGACGGACGACAGCGAACGCAATTCGGAGAATGCAGAGGACTCCGAAAGCCGAGACTGCGGCTTTATCTCCTCTTTCACACACTCACAACACACACACACACACAGTCGCGTACTCTTGCAAGCGCCTACCGACGACCGACGACCGCTTTCATTCAGTAAAAAGAAGAAGCAGGCAGCAAAACAGAATGCCAGATAATCAGAGGTTGGAACACACAACCATGCACACACAAACGCACACGTTCGAATGCGGCTTGGGGAGACTTTCAATTGTGCCCAATCGAAATTCTCACTTTGGGGCAAGTTGTTTTTGTTGCTTGCGCTGTCAACGTGTGTCGCCAGATAAGGGGCCCAAAACTGTGGGTGGGTGGGGAGAGCACGCAACAGCTGTGTCTGAGCAGTGTTGAGCAACGGCTCGTTTCGTTAGCTATATTCACCTTTTGGTTGGTTGTATGCTGCTAATCCAGCCAGTTAATTGGCATAGTGATGTGTGGGGGGTACGAGGTACTGTATCCAATTGCAGGGTATATATAAATATAAGTAATCCACAGTGTATGCTAACACTCAGCTTTAACACAGCGTTGTTTCATTTCTTTTACTTCTCTTCTTGCGTTACTCCACAAACACTACACTACACACACAACACACTCACACTTTTGCGCTCATCGGCGCGTTGCTTTCGACAGCACCTTTATTGTGTATTCCGCTTTGCTCTATGTTTTCAAGCGCGCACAAACACACGCACACGAACCAGACTGAACCGAGTCGTTTCGTTTACATAGACGGGGTATATAAGGCCGAATGCTGCTGCCGCTGTTGCTGCGGCATTTGTCACACAAGAACGAGACACAAAGGAAATTTCGAGCATGCAACCGATAGTTGCTGTTGCATTTGACAAAATAATTATTCCTTTTTTTAATTATTTATTTTGAATTATTTTTTTTTTAGTTTTATAGAGCACTTTAACCGTTTAACACTTGTGCACTGGTTACAGTAAATATCTCGGAACACATTCAGATAGCGAAAATGTGGAGCGTCCGCATCACACGTCCATTCGTTTCAAATTTTCCCGTTCGTCTGCGGACTGAGACCACGCTGTTTCTGCCGCTCGCTGCTATGCCTCTGCTCTGCCGCAACTCTCTGCCGACTATGTACTCACTCACACACACACACACGCGCGCGCTCCCTAACGCAGGTAGACAGCCAACTAACTGCGTGCACTAAGCAGCTATCTCACTCGCTCAGGCCTCTCACTGGACGGCTGTTTCCTTCTGCTTCGTTCTCTTTCTTTTTTCTCAGCTCTCTACTCACTCCGCGTTGGTCTCTCTCATGGGGCGTTTTATTCGTTTCGTTTCGTTTCCTTTCTTTGTTTCGTCCGCTTCGAACCGTTCTCTTTCTCGTTTCGCTCGTATCTGAATCGCATTTTGGGTCGCTTCGCTGCTGCGACGCTGACTGCGGCGTTGGCTTTGCTTTTGCTGCGTTTGCTGTTGCCTTTTGTGTCTTTTGCTTTGCCTGCTGTTTCTTTGTTCGTCGACTCGGAGTTTTCATGTACAGAGCTGCTCTGGAGATACTATTTGGCCATGTACAGCAATATCTATGTATCTACTGCTTTGAGCAATCTTTGAGACTGCTTTTCGTACGGCCGTCTGTTATGTACTTTTTTTCCCTTTCAATCGCACTCTTTCCATTTTATGACTCTTCAACTTCTGATCCATATGCAAACAGTATGTGTGTATGGTCGAAATCCTATGTGTAAACACTTTGTAAAATGGTTGTGTACATAAGAGTATTACCTTACCCACTGGCCACATTTGCAGCGCACTCATGTTACGGCAATTTCCGTAGACGGAAAATTGCATATTTGCACGTAGGCGTACAGTGCAGTACAGCACAGGGCCTCCCCTTTCCGCCTCTCTTGCTCGCACAGTCTAGGCCCCAAATTGGAATATCGGCAGCAATCAGCAGGCAGGCAGGCAGGCACCACTCGAGTCCGAGTCCGAGTCGAGTCCCAGCAACAAAAGCTCTCTCCAATCAGTGCGCAAGCAGTGCCCCAACTAGAGCAACAGCAGCAGCTCCGTTTCCGTTTCTGCGATCGCGAATGTACCGTTGGATTACGTAACAATGTAGATCTAACAGATAACAAAAGAGTCCCAGAGTCCCACTCTCAGGCCACGACGAGATGTTGCGGCACACTTTCTATGCGAAAAAACTGAATGTTTTCGCGTGGGTTGCAGATTTCCACAGCCGAGTATTTGGGCTTTACTTTGTGTGAAGATGCTTTATAAGGAAGGAAAGGAATGAATTACCAGACATAAGCATCTGGCGAAATATACAAGATTTTCACTACCTATGCCGAAAACTATTTAGTTTCAATCATTCTTATTGAAGGTATTATTTGGTGTTAGACTTAAAAAATCTATATATTGTATCTGAATTTTGTTGAAAAGAGGCTTACGCTGCCTCTTTTTTCCTGAAGTTTGAATTTTAGTAGAATTTCTTTTAAATGGACAACACAAATGGCAAAGTAAAGGCTATGATTAGACGATGTACAAGTCCTACGAGTAAATTAAAGGAAAGTACAGGCTGGATTTGTTAGATGTACTAATGAGCTAATTGGGGACCTTGTTTCTATCAACTTTTGATGGGTAAATCCCTGGCAAAGAGCAGATAAAGCATGCGAAAGGTCCCACAAAGTGGTGGATTGCAGAGCCAGCGATTACACGTAAGTCTGATTGCAAGTATAAAGTTACAAGCGGACAACGAGGAAGATAGACTCCCAAAGCTATAATGTTGACGTACATCTGTTCTTCCTAAATCAACTAAAAGTTATTGACAAAAACGTTTCAAAACAGCTTAAATATCGCATTACGCAGTGCAGCACAAACAAAGGGAGGGAGGGACACTCAATTTAAAGAGAACAAATAACTCCATTATTTCAGACAACTTTAAACATGTCTGAAAATGCACAATGGTCCACTTGAATTTACAGCCTAAGCTTTTGTTTTTCTTTTAAGAGTGCAGTTATTATTCGTTGGAGTTCTGTCTTATTATTCTGAACGATTTAGGCAGAATCAACATTAATGTAGTCGATGAACGATTTGTGTTTACATAAAAACCAATGCAGAATTAGACTCAAAGATATAAAGTTTCAATAAATTTGGTATGATATAATCTAATATAGCCGATTAGTTTGCCAAATTCTTCAGCTAGAAATTGGGACAATCTTGAATATTGAACATTTTCAGTAATAACATTTCCAGGCTAACAATTGCCAATACGAAATGTAATTTAAAAGACGATTGCACTCGTGTAAGAGTCTAAATTACAGCAGTTTAAATTTGGTTTCATGATTCAACCCAACCCCCTCCCTAAGGTTGTGAAACCCGCTCTTATGTATCTAACCATGAATCAGAATATAATTTAAATAAAACAAATGAGTAATGATTCTTTGAGGATGTAAGTAATTTAATAAAGGGACATTAAAAGTAAACGATACGTTTATAAAGGAAACAATTTCAATTTCTTGTTGTGCTCTTTGCCAACAAATTTATCTCTAATTGGTGAATAATAGAACTTGCCTTTATCTCTGCTCTCATATGACTTCTAAAGAAATTTATAAGAATAATCTTCAATGAATTACAGGATATACATATTTATTTATTTATGCTACTTCATATGTAACCATATGAATGTACTTACGAGTACTGGGATATCGGTTGAGATTCATAGTAAATGGATAGTGGGCCATCCATAGTTGTAGGTACATACATATGATACATAAATATATGTATGAATCGAAAAGCGAATCTCTAGACAAGCTTCATACAAAACATAGTTTCTGAAGGTATGGACAATTGAACCAAGTTGGTTAAGTTTTATTCCGTATTGAATAGTTATTGAATATTTTAATGAAAGACATTTTTGGCAATGGTTGTTACTTTAAGTTTTGGAGCGCAAAAGAAATCAATGCTCGGTCCAGAGGGGAGTCCTAAGAGTTGACTAAAAACTAAAGGCAAGAGGTATAATGGAGTTGAAAACTAAGTTCTATGCATTCTCACTCTTGTATCTATAAGAAATATACTGAAAATTGATTTTCTAAGCAAAAAACTTCTCTTTTAGAGGATGGTCGGCGATGGTTGAAGGCAACACCATAACTTCAATATCTTCAAAAATGTGATATCGCTCTGCCTGTGATGTGACAGATGTGACTAATGCTAATGAAAGACTGGAAAAGTCTCAAAAAGAGTTTTGAAAGTGCTGAGGTGCGGCACTACTATTTCAATGTTCACAGCTGTTTGTGCTTACATATTGTTTCTTCAAATTCCTGTAATGTCATCTTTAGCTAAGATATCTTAAGAGCGCTGTCGATGAAGTAATGAAAAACGTAAAAGTCATGAGTGTTTTGATAGAAAGACTCTGCCATTTCAATTTGCACTTTGTGGACTCTGGGAAATATTGAGATGTATTATGAGCGAATCTCGTATAGGATAGAATAGTACGTAATTTCCACATTGCTCTCTTTATTCATTAGAAGTAAAATTACCATCATTACGTCCGGGTTCTACTCGGATCTAAATTCTGTTTGGACTGCTGAAAAGGAATATTCCCAGTGACTAATTGACTGTGTTTATCGCGTGGTATAATAGCTAATTTCTATATTCCCAGGTTCATCAGGAATATCAGTTACATTCTAGCAGTAATTGTCCTGTTTCTGAGACTCTGGCCGATTAGAGCCACTCGAGCGGACACTAATCCCCGAGTCACTTGCTCTCTCTGTCTAAGCGGAATCATTAAGTGTGGCCCCATCTGTAGTCGCTGCCGTATCCCCAGCAGTCCCGTTCCGTTCTGCTACCGTTGGTGGCTATCGGAGGCGGACGCCATCTTAAGTCGGCCGTCGTCATCAATGTCTGATTGAGCTCATCCTGTGCGGCGGGCGTTCGCCTGTTGCCTGGTGCACTCTGGCGGGATGGGTTGGGATGATACTGGACTGGACTGGGGGCCCAGAGAGCAGTAAATTATTGATTGGCTTTAATGCCGAGCGATAGATTGCCTCAACTGGTTTTAACAGCTTAATTGAGACCCCATGAAGCAATAAATGCGATAAAGCGACAGACCCAGACCTCGACTCGGGCTTAGTCCATGCCATACTCAGCGCGGACGGGCTCAGCTCAGACTCCAGCACGAGAAAGAGAAACTAATAATGTGCCGCACTGTGGAAAGACGACGACGACGTCGAAGTCAGAGTCGTGTCTATAGCTGCCCACTGTCCGTTGTCTGCTGTTGCCCCCCCGCTCGCTTCCAGATGCCCAGCAACTAAAAGCAACAACAAGGGAAATACTTGCTTTGGCGGGCCGAGGCTTTTGATACCCTTACTGAGCCATCATTTCAATGGCAGTTGTAGGATGTGGTCAGCCAGATCTACTACAAGTGTGTTGAGGGTGGGGAAAAATGAAAGGTCTCTGCAAAATGAGAAAACTGACAGACGTGGCTCTATAATACATTTTTAACCTTTGGCGTCCGAAGTGCTTCGTTATCTGCGTTTCAAACCTCTTGGCAAGGCCATAATACCGTCTCGGCAAGGGTATAACAAGCAGCTCCAGCATCTGCAAGAGAGGCAGCAACAGCAACTCCAGTAGCAGCCTCCCAGTGAATGGGGGGCATTTAAGTTTAATTTGTGTGCCGTCGCTGACGTTGACGCCGCTGTCGCTGCCTCTGCCTCTGCCGTGTCGATGCTGCCGTTTTCTCCTCTTCTCTTTCGCGTCGGATCCGATCCAACCCGACTTGGCTCTCCTACCACTTCCCACCTTAGCAAATCCCCACAAGCAATGACCGAACCGAACCTCAGAGATTCGTTGTTGTTCTTGCTGCTGCTGGCGCTCGCTGGCTGAATTCAGGGCGCATGTCAAGACGAACAGCACATATACAGTCGCATTGTATTTATATGCATACGTATGTATTCATGTATGTATCAGCATCGTCATCATCATCATCATCGGTCCCATCATTATTAGCACAACAGCAGATGTTTATGTGCGCCAGTGTGCAGTATGTGTGAAAAAGTATGCATCTGTGTGCATTGGCATAGGGTTGCCAGAGCGCCGATTGCGAGTGGCAATTGAAAATGCTTCGAGTTTATCGGTTTTAAAAGTAAGTGAAGCGATGTTAATGTACAAGAGTTTTTGATAATAATTTAGCGTTTATACGATATTCAATATAGATAAATTTAAATCTACTTATTCTGTATATTTTGCATAAATTATATTACTTACTAAATTATTATTTTCTTAGTGTTTATATTCTTTAAAAATATTTTACTCTGTTTCCCACAGATTTTCCAACACAATTGATATTATGCATTTACTTGCCGCAGTCGACAACCCTGGAGCAGTTGGTTTTGCCTCGCGTTTATCTACG